TAAAAATTAACCGTTTTTAGGAAAAAGGCCCCCCGGTCCCCAATTTTCCCCGTTTTTCCCCCTTTGGGAACTTTTCCCCTTTTAAAAGGGGGCCCCTCTGTCCGTTTCACCCCCCAAATTCAGCAGCATTAAAAATTTTAGCAATACTTTTCCAGGAAAAAATTTTTTTCCCCCCCCCTTTTCAAGGGGTTATCCCCATAAACCCCAAACCCGTTTTTTTTTGTTAAAAAAAAACCCCAAATAATAAAAAAAATTTTGTTTTAATTAATCCCACCTTTTAACCACAAAATCAAATCCCATCCACAAATCCCCCCCCCCCCCCAACCCCCCCCCCCCCCCGCAAAGGCCAAGAGATGCTTCCCTACATATAACCTAATGCCTGAAAAGTGTCGAAATAAAACTAGAGGTACCTAGCAGGAATACAGGGTTTCACAACATACAGTGTGATTTGGTGCAATGTCTCCTATGTTGAGCTGGCTACACTGCCAAAAAAAACAGGGCCCGAGATGGAAGAGCTATGGAAATTCTCACCTCTTCCAAATTTTGAAGGATGGTGCTTTTGGTACCCCTTCCAAGATTTACAAGGATGGTGCTTTGGTACCTTCCCAGATTTACAAAGATAATTGTCCTTGCCTTCATCGATGCACTTCTACTATCTACAACTCCAACAATGCCATTTACTCCTTCATGCCCGTTCGCCTCCCAGCCCATTAAGGGGTTCCAAATGCGCGGGAGGCGGGGGTTTAAGGGAACGGCGGTCACATGATTGGGAAAGATCCCGATCGAAAGAGGAGATCGGGACCTTTCCATGAGTACCGGACATGTGTGCTGGTGTGTGCAGGGCGCACGGTCTCTGCACACATGTACCTTTTTTAATAGAACCGCAAATGTGCTGCCGCTCGGCGTCTAGGCCCAGACGCGGGAGGCGCGGTTGGTACATTTGTGTGCGGCCGGCGTGAAGAGGTGAAAGCCCATAGGCCCTCCTTGGTTGACTGCATTATATCCCCTTCCCCGTTCTTTAATCACTTCTGTCAAAACCTTCTAAAGGGTTTATATCGCAGGGATACTCTATGCTACTGACTATATTCTTTAGGCAATTACCCCATTGCAAGTCCTTTCATATGGGGAGGATTTAGGCCAGACCTCAGGTGACCAATGGGAGGAAGCATTTGCAGCTATTACAACTTGCTCACTCAATATGGCCGCAGAGGCTTTCCCAATTGTAGTATTTTGCATCGGGTTCATTATACACTGCATAAAATGGTTATCCGGCCGACCCTATGGCTCTATTAAGTGTTTTTTAGGTGGAGAAGGTCTCCCACCGTCATGTACTCTGGAGATACCCCAAGCTTCACCTATATTGGAAAGGCGTGCTTGACATTATTCATGTTTTTCAATCCTCTGTCCCTCTAGATCCCAAGTTGCTACATGCTTAATGTTTTAGTGAAGCCATTACCTCCTGATTTCACTCGAGAAGCTATTTCAAGGCCTTATGGGCCACAAATAAATTCATTTTAACCCAATTGGAACATAGAGGATGCCCACACAAATTTGACAAGCTATTTATGGGCTCCCTGGCTGGATTACCCTGGCTTCGGCCCGCTGGAGTTGGTCCAGATGCAAATGTTGCGCAGCCCTATGAGTTCAATACTAATATAACCCCCCCTAAGGCTACTCTCATATAATACATGAATGGTCTGTTTGCTAACTCCACCCGCAGGGACTTATGAACAGGCATTGCTAACGCCTTTAACACCGCAACACCATAGAAATGTAAGAGCCGTGTCTGTAATTGTTGTATTCATCTTTTTTCTTCCTTATTCAACTGCTGTACAATTTGCTTACTGTACGTGTGGTGTCGGAGAACTATTTTCAATAAACCCTTTCTGATTTTTGAATTTTCATTTCCATCAAACGATGGGACATCCTTTATCGACCTGCAGCAGGAAGACTGAATTCAAAGACACCCCCGGAAAAATCAAAGTGAAAAAATGATGCAGCAGTGTGAGGTCAGTCCATTTTGCTAAAATTTTATTACAGGCAATATCTCAAAATGGTACTCGGTAGTGTGTGGAGGGAAGGAAAATAGAACAGACATTTTTATTTTTAATATATTTATATACCGTCCTGTTGATTTGGGTTTAAGAACCTTCTATGGCCCTGTTCAGCTCTCCTAGAGTAAACTGCCTTTCTCCTGGAATCTCCTCCATGCTCTTGAGACTATGCTGGGAGACAGCAAATCTTTCTGGCCAATGACAGGTATTGATGTGCCATCCTGGAGGAGTTGGACTGCCCTGTGCAACCTCTGTAGGTCCCAGGTATCACCTCATGCTACCCAGTAGTGACACTGACCCTAACCAAATGCAAAATGACAATTATTATACAGGAATTATATTGCACCAACAATTTCCGCAGCGCTTTACAAAATAAAGGGAGACATTACAGTTACTATACAATTTTGGTACAAGATGTCCCTACTCATGAGAGCTGACAATCTAGGAGGAAGGGTTCAGTGATACAAAAGGTAACAGCAGTGGGGGGATGAGCTGACGGAGGAAATAAATGTGCTAGGTAGAAGCAGGGATTAGCTGCTATAGTCAGAGTTGGGTAGCATCCAGCGCAAGCCGAACCCCGGTGCCTGGCTGCATCTAGTGCGAGCCGGACCCGGTGCCTGGCTGCATCTAGTGCGAGCCGGGACCCGGTGCCTGGCTGCATCTAGTGCGAGCCGGACCCGGTGCCTGGGCTGCATCTAGTGCGAGCCGGACCCGGTGCCTTGCTGCATCTAAACGGGTTTTTTTTTGCGAGCCGGACCCGGTGCCTGGGGCTCATCTAGTGCAGGCCAAGTCCGGGTGCCTGGCTGCATCTAGTGCGAGGCCCAAGTCCGGTGCCTGGCTGCATCTAGTGCGAACCGGACACGGGCATTAGTGCCTGGGGCTGCATTCTAGTGCGAGCCGGACCCTATGGTACCTTGGCTGCATCTAGTGCAGGCCAAGCCCGGTGCCTGGCTGCATCTAGTGCAGGCCAAGCCCGGTGCATGGCTGCATCTAGTGAAGTCCAAGCCCGGTGCATGGCGGCATCTACTGCAGGCCTAGTCCGGTGCCTGGCTGCATCTAGTGCAGGACAAGTCCGGTGCCTGGGCTGCATCTAGTGCAGGGACAAGTCCGGTGCCTGGCTGCATCTAGTGCAGGACAAGTCGCGGTGCCTGTGCTACATTAGTGCAGGCCAAGTCCCGGTGCCTGGCTGCATCTAGTGCAGGCCAAGTCCGGTGCCTGGTTGCATCTTAGTGCAGGCCAAGTCCGGTGCCTGGCTGCATTAGTAGTGCAGGCCCAAGTCCGGTGCCTGGCTCCATCTAGTGCAGGCGCAAGTCTGGTGCCTGGCTGCAGATCTAGTTCGAGCCGGACCCGGTGCCTGGCTGCATTCGCTATGCAGGCCAAGTCTGGTGCTTGGCTGCATCTAGTGTTTCGAGCCGGACACGGTGGCCTGGCTTGCATCTAGTGCAGGCAAAGCCCGGTGCCTGGCTGCATCTAGTGCAGGCCAAGTCCGGTGCCTGCCTGCATCTAGTGCAGGCCGGACCCGGTGCCTGGCTGCATCTAGTGCAGGCCAAGTCCGCGTGCCTGGCTGCATCTAGTGCGAGCCGGGCCCGGTGCCTGGCTGCACCTAGTGCGAGCCGGGCCCGGTGCCTGGCTGCACCTAGTGCGAGCCGGGCCCGGTGCCTGGCTGCACCTAGTGCGAGCCGGGCCCGGTGCCTGGCTGCACCTAGTGCGAGCCGGGGCCCGGTGCCTGGCTGCAGATAGTGCGAGCCGTGGCTGCTGCACCTAGTGCGAGCCCGGACGGGTGCCTGGCTGCACCTAGTGCAAGCCGGGACGGGTGCCTGGCTGCACCTAGTGCGAGCCGGGACGGGTGCCTGGCTGCACCTAGTGCGAGCCGGGACGGGTGCCTGGCTGCACCTAGTGCGAGCAGGGACGGGTGCCTGGCTGCACCTAGTGCGAGCCGGGACGGGTGCCTGGCTGCATCCTAGTGTGAGCCGGACCCGGTGCCTGGCTGCAATCTAGTGCGAGCCGGGACGGTGCCTGGCTGCATCTAGTGCGAGCCGAACCCGGTGCCTGGCTGCATCTAGTGCGAGCCGGACCCGGTGCCTGGCTGCATCTAGTGCGAGCCGGACCCGGTGCTTGGCTGCATCTAGTGCGATCCGGACCCGGTGCCTGGCTGCATCTAGTGCGAGCCGGACCCGGTGCCTGGCTGCATCTAGTGCGAGCCCGGACCCGGTGGCCTGGCTGCATCTAGTGCGCAGTGCGAGCCGGACACCGGGTGCCTGGCTGCATCTAGTGCGAGGTGCAGGCCAAGTGCGAGCCGGTGCCTGGCTGCATCTAGTGCGAGCCAAGTCCGGTGCCTGGCTGCATCTAGTGCAGCCGGAGTCCGGTGCCTGGCTGCATCTAGTGCAGGCCAAGTCCGGTGCCTGGCTGCATCTAGTGCAGGCCAAGTCCGGTGCCTGGCTGCATCTAGTGCAGGCCAAGTCCGGTGCCAAGTCCGGTGGCTGCATCTAGTGCAGGCCAAGTCCGGTGCCTGGCTGCATCTAGTGCAGCCAAGTCCGGTGCCGGTGCAGGCTGGCTGCATCTAGTGCAGGCCAAGTCTGGTGCCTGGCTGCATCTAGTTCGCGAGCCGGACCCGGTGCCTGGCTGCATCTAGTGCAGGCAAAGCCCAGTGCCTGGCTGCATCTAGTGCAGGCCAAGTCCGGTGCCTGGCTGCATCTAGTGCAGGCCAAGTCCGGTGCCTGGCTGCATCTAGTGCAGGCCAAGTCCGGTGCCTGGCTGCATCTAGTGCAGGCCGGACCCGGTGCCTGGCTGCATCTAGTGCAGGCCAAGTCCGGTGCCTGGCTGCATCTAGTGCAAGCCGGACCCAGTGCCTGGCTGCATCTAGTGCGAGCCGGACCCGTTGCCGGCTGCATCTAGTGCGAGCCGAACCCGATGCCGTCTGCATCTAGTGCGAGCCGGACCCGGTGCCTGGCTGCATCTAGTGCAGGCCAAGTCCGGTGCCTGGCTGCATCTAGTGCAGGCCAAGTCCGGTGCCTGGCTGCATCTAGTGCAGGCCAAGTCCGGTGCCTGGCTGCATCTAGTGCAAGCCAAGTCCGGGTGCCTGGCTGCATCTAGTGCAGGCCAAGTCCGGTGCTTGGCTGAATCTAGTGCAGGCCAAGTCCGGTGCCTGGCTGCATCTAGGGCAGGCAAAGTCCGGTGCCTGGCTGCACCTAGTGCGAGCCGGGCCCGGTTCCTGGCTGCACCTAGTGCGAGCCGGACCCGGTGCCTGGCTGCACCTAGTGCGAGCCGGGCCCGGTGCCTGGCTGCACCTAGTGCGAGCCGGGCCCGGTGCCTGGCTGTACCTAGTGCGAGCCGGGCCCGGTGCCTGGCTGCACCTAGTGCGAGCCGGGCCCGGTGCCTGGCTGCACCTAGTGCGAGTCGGGACGGGTGCCTGGCTGCACCTAGTGCGAGCCGGGCCCGGTGCCTGGCTGCACCTAGTGCGAGCCGGGCCCGGTGCCTGGCTGCACCTAGTGCGAGCCGGGCCCGGAGCCTGGCTGTACCTAGTGCGAGCCGGGCCCGGTGCCTGGCTGCACCTAGTGCGAGCCGGGACGGGTGCCTGGCTGCACCTAGTGCGAGCCGGGACGGGTGCCTGGCTGCACCTAGTGCGAGCCGGGACGGGTGCCTGGCTGCACCTAGTGCGAGCCGGGACGGGTGCCTGGCTGCACCTAGTGCGAGCCGGGACGGGTGCCTGACTGCATCTAGTGAGAGCCAAGACGGGTGCCTGGCTGCACCTAGTGCGAGCCGGCCCGGTGCCTGGCTGCACCTAGTGCGAGCCGGACCTGGTGCCTGGCTGCACCTAGTGCGAGCCGGGACGGTGTGCCTGGCTGCACCTAGTGTGAGCCGGGACGGGTGCCTGGCTGCACCTAGTGCGACCCGGGACGGGTGCCTGGCTGCACCTAGTGCGAGCCAAGACGGGTGCCTGGCTGCACCTAGTGCGAGCCGGGCCCGGTGCCTGGCTGCACCTAGTGCGAGCCGGGCTCGGTGCCTGGCTGCACCTAGTGCGAGCCGGGACGGGTGCCTGGCTGCACCTAGTGCGAGCCGGGACGGGTGCCTGCTGCACCTAGTGCGAGCCGGGACGGTTGCCTGGCTGCATCTAGTGCGAGCCAAGACGGGTGCCTGGCTGCACCTAGTGCGAGCCGGGACGGGTGCCTGGCTGCACCTAGTGCGAGCTGTGCCCGGCCGCATCTAGTGTATATTGAGTCCAGTGTCTTGTTGTATACAGTGTACATCGTGTCCACTTTCATGCTGTACAGTGTATACCGTGTCCATTGTCTGGCTGTACACAATGTATACCGTGTCCAGTGTCTGGCTGTACACAGTGTATACCGTGTCCAGTGTCTGGCTGTATACAGTGTATACCGTGTCCAGCTGTATATAGCGTATACAGTGTACACCATGCCCGATGTCTGCCTGTATATAGTGTACACAGTGTACACCATGTTGAAGGGAAAAAAACAACAACCCATTGATTACACTAAGCGCCACCTCTTCCTTCCAGGTTCCTCTTCCTTGTGTCAGAATGGAGAGCAGGGAAGAAGCCATTAAATATGTAATTTACTTGTCCCTTCCATTCCAAAATGAACAGTGAGTGATCAGTACTGATCGCGCCTTTTTCCATTCATCACTGAGGCATAGTAAACGGTCAGGCCTATTGCTGTCAACGGGATGTGTATATTCTTTATTACAGCAATAAAAGTTTTTTGTTTTTTTATAAAAGATAGTACTAAAAAAAAAAAAAAAATTAAAGTATGCTTGTGAATCTAAAGTGGTAACCTGTGAAGCCTTTTAAAACCGTCGCTATAGGCATTGTCCATAGCTATGGACAGTAAAAGGTACGTCGTTTTTCGCCACTGCACAGGACATACCCAATTTTAAAGTGTGACGTTTGTTATCTATTTGCTCGACGTAAAGTCATCTTTTATAATTTACAGAAAAAAAAATTGAGTCGTGTGGGGGGGGGGAGGTTGCATTAAAATTTAAAGTGTAATTTTTTTTGGGGGGAAAAAAAAATTGCGGTTGAAAAATAGTGTAACATAAAAAAAAAATTATTGCAAATCCCACCAATTTTTTGGCTAGGGCTTCGGCTTGAATACAAAATGTAATGTTGGGGGGGGGGGGGTGTCAGTAAATTTATATTTAAAAAAATATATATATACGTGGATAAAAAAAAGGACAGAAAAAGCCTGGACCTGAATTGGTTAATTTCTATAAAAAAAAAAAGGGGGGGGGGGCACAGTACAGTCAGTGGGAGTGAACCGTCACCTGCAGTCATGGGTCTCCGGAGTAAAAATAGAAGCTCTAATACAGACCTTATTGCACTCATCAGATACTAATTAAATCCTAATAATTACACATAATAATAATACCGCACAATCAGAGAATCTACGTCTCTGTACACACGGAGAATGCGGAGCTCACACAAACACATCCACCCTCTATAGTGCTCTGGCGCCGAGTGATCTTCCTGGATTGCGAATTCAAACTGTTACAAAGCGTTTTGACGTCATACGCAAGACGTCCTTCACGGGGCGCTTCTTTTAGACGTCCTTATCATTGCCTGCTTGTGACAGTTTTTAGGTGTCTAAATCTATGCCTGCAGCAACTGTGATCTCTCCGGTATACTTCCTCTGAGCGTGTTCATTTCTGTTTAAGGAAGGATACTAATACATGCGATACTGAAAGGGGGTGTGACCTGACCGCTTCTTCTGAGGGGCGTGTACGGAGATAAGCCGGCGGGGCTTCATGATGTACTGCAGTGGCAGGGCCTCTTTATAGTTTCAGTATCGCACAGTGGCTGCTTTATTTCAGCACACGTAAACTTTCACAGGAAATAAATACAAATATTTTGATTTGAGAAGCCGCATTTACTCTCTAATAAGGAAAGCGCTGCTATTAATTTAACGAACTACATTTCCCAGCATGCTTCATCGGCACTTCCTCCCTTTCTCAACGGCGGTGAAGTTTCCAAGTGTCTCGCTTACGGGGCCCATTTTGTCATAGTCCACGCGTAGCATTGCTATGAAGCTTGGGATTCTTAAATATGGCCGCTGCAGGGATTTATGGATAAGTCGGTGTGGAGACCGAGGTGATATGAAGTCCTGCTGAAGGTTGTCAGGAGGCAGGGCCGGTGAGATGTGGAGGGGGTGTCCCCGGATAAGTGAGAAGGGGACACATGGGGCTGGTGTCAGAGGTCAGTCATGTGTCTGCTCACACACTGTGCATCATACCAGGACACAGGTCAGTCACCCCTGACCTCTGGGTGTTGTGTGTCTGCAGAACTGCAGATCTGACCATACACGATGCAATCTGGTTGTATGATCTCCTTGTCACCTGTACACTGAGCTCTACGGAGATCGTACAATCAGATTACAGCTCCCCATACAGGATACAGTCTGGTTGTATGATCTTCTATAGATATAAAAGTATGTAGTGCAAGATCCCGCCTGATTGGATATTAACTGGATTGTTCAGACACCCCCAGATACACATTTCCCAAGAGCTCTTCCCTGCACATCCACAGATCTACATCCCAAGAGTAATTTCTATAATTCCCCCCCCCCAGAACTACATCTTATAAGAACCCTTTCCCTACACACCCCCAGATCTACATCTCCCAAGAACCCTTTCCCTCCACATCTTTAGATCTACATCTCCCAAGAGCCTTTTCCCTACTCACCCTCAGATCTAGGTCTCCCAAGAGCCCTTTCCCTTCTCACCCTCAGATCTACGTCTCCCAAGAGCCCTTTCCCTACTCACCCTCAGATCTATGTCTCCCAAGAGCCCTTTCCCTACTCACCCTCAGATCTACGTCTCCCAAGAGCCCTTTCCCTACTCACCTCAGATCTACAACTCCCAAGAGCCCTTTCCCTACTCACCCTCAGATCTACGTCTCCAAGAGCCCTTTCCCTACTCACCTTCATATCTACAGTTGCAAGAAAAAATTTGTGAACCCAATGGGATTACGTGGAGTTTTGCATGAATTGGGCATAAAATGTGCTCTGAACGTCATCTAAGTCACAACAATAGAAGAACGCAGTCTGCTGAACATAATACTACACAAACATTAGATGTTGCCATGGTTTAATTGCACATAACATGTAAACATTCACAGTGCAGGGAGGAAAAAGTATGTGAGGCCCTAGCTTAATGACTTCTCCCAGAGCTAATTGGAGCCAGGAGTGAGCCAACCTTGACTCCAATCAGTGTGATGATATTGGATGTGTTGCTGACAGCTGTCCTGCCCTTAAAAAACACACACCTGTTTTGGGTTTACTGGTTTCAAGAAGCACTGTCTGATGTGAACCATGCCTCACAGAAAAGAGCTCTCAGAAGACCTACGATCAAGAATTGTTGACTTGCATGAAGCTGGAAAGGGTTACAAAAGTATCTCCAAAAGCTTTGATGTTCATGTGTTCACGGTAAGACAGACTGTCTACAAATGGAGAAAGTTTAGCACTGTTGCTACTCTCCCTAGGCGTGGTCTTCCTGTAAAAATGACTGCAAGAGCACAGCGCAGAATGCTGTATGAGGTAAAGAAGAATCCCAGAGTGTCAGCTAAAGACCTACAGAAATCTCTGGCACATGCTAACATTTTTGTTCACACATCTACAATAAGGAAAACATTAAACAAGAATGGAGTACATGGGAGGACACCACGGAGGAAGCCATTTCTGTCCAGAAAGAATATTGCAGCACGTTTGAAGTTTGCAAAAGAGCACCTGGATGTTCCACAGCACTACTGGCAAAATATACTGTGGACAGATGAAACCAAGATTGAGTTGTTTGGGAAGAACACACAACACTATGTGTGGAGAAAAAAAAGGCACAGCACACCAACATCAAACCCTCATCCCCACTGTAAAACATGGCGGAGGGAGCATCATGGTTTGGGGCTGCTTTGCTGCCTCAGGGCCTGGACAGATTGTTGTCATTGATGGGAAAAATGAATTCCAGAGTTTATCAAGACATTTTGCAGGAAAACATACGACCATCTGTCCGCCAACTGAAGGTCCGCAGAGGATGGGTGATGCAACAGGACAATGACCCAAAGCATACAAGTAATTCAACAAAACAATGGCTGCAACAGCACAAAATACGCCTTCTGGAGTGGCCCAGTCAGAGTCCTGACCTCAACCCCGATTGAAATGCTGTGGCATGACCTTAAGAGAGCGATTCGCACCAGACACCCCAAGAATATTGCTACACTTTAACAGTTTTGTGAAGAGGAGTGGTCCAAAATGACTCCAGATCGTTGTGCAGGTCTGATCTGCAACTACAGGAAACGTTTGGTTGAGGTTATTGCTGCCAAAGGAGGGTTGTAAAATATCGTATTGTCTCGATATTTTATTAACTTGTATTGATGAGAAATGTTCAGATAGAAAGTCCTTCCACTTCTTGCATAAACTCAAAAAGATGATTTAATAATAATGTTGCATAAAATTAGAAATAAAATATTGGCATACAGAATGTTTAAATAATGTCCAAAAAAAT